TGGGTTCCAATGATTTGGCTCCAATATTATGCCCCCTCTACACCCAACTCCTTACCCTGACAAGATTCCTTAGAGAAATCTTATGTGTCAACTGGTTGAAAGGGCAGTTTGCCTATTAATAGGATCTTGGAGGGAAAATACTAGAGATAAGCCAATCAGTGTGTATGAAAGTTAGGAGCTGATTCGGTTGAGAATATTTCAGCTAAACTAGAGCAACATGGTATATGTCTAGTGTCTGTGGCAGGACTGGATGGGACTCCAATTTTTTTTCTTCCCAGCATGTTAAAACACCTTAGAAAATATCAACTGATATATGGTTGCTGCCTGCTCAGGGCTGTGTTTCAAAGGAAGATAAAATTTCATCCTTTTACTCCCAGAGTTTGACCTTGACCAGAATATCCTTGTTTCAAGAAGTGTTTTCAATATCTCCACTTCAAAGGCTGAGGAAATCCTAATCAATCTTAAAGACTTTCTAACAGAAATGCTTGCTAAATAAAAGGAAGAAAATATATTTTGTTCTTTTAAAAATGAATTTCTGTTTTGGAAGGATATATGTCATTAACATTATTTGAAGCAGTTTTTCAAACAACCACATTTTGCATTTAAAAAAAATATAATCAAGAATGTGCTTCCATCCATGCCTCTCTACCTTTTTCCATTTACACAAGAGAGCTGATAAAAAGGAACATTAACCTGACATGAACTTCTGGACAATTCTTGACATCCAAAATGTAGTTCAGGTCATTTGACACACGTAATAGATTTCTGGTTTTATATATGTATTTCTATAGTCTAGGAGAGATGGGATAGAGGGGATCTAATGCTGAAACAATGTCTGATTCTCATGAGAAATAACAACTAGCATTTCAAAGATTTTCTGTGTATTTTTGCACAAGTTGAAATGGAAATTTTTGAAAGAGAAAAGATTAAGAACAACATTTACATTTGCTGTGCCTTAAAAGGCCAGTGTTTCAGAAGCATTTAACTATTGATAGAGCTGTCTGGGATTTGTACTTTATTTGGACTAGTCTCAAGTTCAATATCCCATCTAGTATTGATTATTTAAATATCAAAATTCTGAAATGAAAATAACTATCAGAATGGAGTCTTTTTTAATAAATGAAAGTATTAAGTTATCAAATTATCAAGGTGGGCAGTTTAGAAATTTTATGGCTTAAAAATAATGGAAGGGAAGAAATTATTGAAGGCATTTTGTAATGACACATTGTATAAGTTCAGTGTATTCCACTAAATTACTCAATAAAATTGAAGTGTGCCAAAAGGATACTTTTCATTGGTTGTCAGAGCTAAATATTATATATGTCCAGATTCAATTTTCATAAAAATCCTAGAATATAAGATTAAATCTTACAGTTGTCTCTTGAAACTGGGAATAGATCTTAATTTAATGTAATAAATTTCAAATATCCCAGACAACACTAATATGTGATGAGATACCACTTAACATATTGGCTTCATGCCAAATTTTCTCATTTTAAAATATATTCTTGCCAACAATGTAGATAAGTATATCCCATATCACTATTTTAGCCATATTCATTATTTGAAAATTGTTGGAATTCAAAATCTTTCACAATTTCTTCTTTGGAGTATTTTTCAAAATGAAATGCAAACATGAGAAAGGTATTCAATATTTTTTCAAAACTAGGCATTTGGATCATATCAGTTTTATCTTCAACAGTTTGGTTTGTTCCTTGTTTTTTTTTTAGGTGAAATATTTTGAAAAGTGCTTATGTATTTGTTTAGTAGAATTGTTTTTTGTATTGTTCTTCACATTACAGAGTGGGTCAGTTCCAACCTACAATTCCATATTTAGAAAATTCTCCATAGCAAATTTCTCTTTTCTCATACATGGCTTCAGAGGGGTCTAATAAAATGTTCTGTAAATTAAAAGTTATTTTGTACTGTAGGGACAGTTCTCTGAAAAAAAAATCTCTAAACCCAATCCTTCCAGATGAATAGATAATTATAATAAACAGGGCTATATAATCATCCTAGTACATTAATTTCCCCTTCCCCCAGTACATTCTTAGATTTGGCTAAATATAATAGCCATCTTTACAGTCAGCAAATTAGGAGGGTTGGGTTGTGTATTAACTGTCAAATTTGGCTCAGTAACATTGAAGTTAGCTAATTACTCTCTTCGTGTTTTTGGTTATTAATGTGAATCTTCCTACCATTTCATATAATATGAGAAGCATTTGACTCACTGATATTTCTTAAAGGCACAGAAGCCATACATTATATTTTTCTATATTTATATACTTCATCTTTATAGAAATTCTCATGGAGCCTGGAGCTGGGTGTGTTGTTGTTTGTTTCCAATTTATCTCTGCATATATTGATAGAAGACCAGGTAGATGGGCAATGTGACATGACAAGTGTGATTCAAACAGGAATAAAATAAATAATACCGCCATAGTATGCAACTGTAGGGCATAACTTATCCTAAACATTTGCAGAGATACCATACTATGTTCTAATGAATCTTTTCTAGTGAAATGTCATCATGTTTAATTTTTCCTATGTTAAGTTCACTTTCACATTCCCTGTCACTTTTAGCACAAACCTTTTCCCCATTGTGGAGAATTAGCCGTGAGCATCACTAAGGGCAACCAAATGCAGTGGAGTAGCTTAGTGGAGGAATTGCAAAGATTGACAGTAGGGAAAGGAAAGATTAGATGATGAAATAATGCTTTTTCCTAAAAATAGTCATTTGCAAAACCACTGATTTAAATGCTCCTGAGATTAAATTAGAGGACCTTTTTCAAAATTGAAAATTTGGAGAGCTTCTGAGTGTATCATGTGGACATCTTGGAAGGCAGAGAAAAGTCACAGAAAGCTGCATACTTACCATTTCTTAGGAGCTGGAAAGCTGAAGCATTCTCTCCCCACCTCTTGGTGGTTGCTCCTTCTATAGACAAGACATTCTCTACTTTGGGAGATGAATAGCCATAGGCTGATTAAGCTTCAATAAATGAAATACCTATTTCAGTTGTTTACCCTTCCCATGCTATCCTGGTAGGTGGAATACCATCAGGGCTGCTGGGTGATACAAAGACAATGAATGTGGCAAGAAGTGATAAGTGCATAATATTAGAAAAGAACAGCAGAAATACAACCCATTAACACAAATCTGCAGGTAGATATGAACAAAAGCTAATGAATCCATTCATAACATGTTTCTTTCTCATAAGATAAATACAATTTTGTATGTCTCTTCTGTGTAATGAACTCACTTATTTGTCACATGAAATTCATATTTATGTCTGCTCAGTTTTGCCAGCAGCTAGAATGGCTTGGCCAAATGGAGTGATTTTTTTTACAACCAAAGCTGAATCCCAGCAGCAGGTGAGGATGAGATCCAACATTGTATGTTGGTCAACCACAAAATGGCCAAGTGTTGTTCCTGAGGTCATGAAACTATACTCAGGACTTGCTCTGATGCAACTGCCTATGATCAGAGACAGGAGATCAAAATCAAAAGAGAGAATTTCACATCTTTAGACCTGCAACAGCAAAAGAAGTCTTAAGATAAACCAGTGTTTCTTGATTTACATTCTGGAAAAGGGAAGTTTTATCACCATTAGAAAGCAAAGGGCTTCATCATCTACCAGAGAAATATTTCCAATTTTTTTCCAAAGTTCTCCAGGGTATGCAGAGCAAACAGTCAATTTCACTTTAACAGGTTAAGTTCAGAAACCTGGAACTGCAGAATCAACAATGAGTCAAGCCAGATGTGGAAAAGGCCGAGCGGATAGTGAGTTTTCCTAGGTAGACACTGTTGGGAGGGGACATTGCATCAGATGACAGCAACTTATCAGAATCTTTGTAGGATTTCTTTTAAAAAGCGTATTATGTAATTTAATATATTTGAAAATAATAATAAAAATTAGTGCATTTATGCTGCAAACTATAAAAAGCAAGTTTTATAAAATCTTCATTGGTAGATATATTTAATCAGAATCTTTGAACAAGTTAAAATTTGCTCATAAGAAGTATAGAATTATTGGGCCACAGCATTTTGCCAAAGATTGTTAAATGGTCAAGGGTTCTCTGTTCATCAAATTACTCATTTGGCTGTTCAAAAAGGTCTATTCTGACTGCTCCTTTTGTGTTAAACTGAAGATTTGTACCCAGAAGAGATATCAATTTAAGACATATCAATTTTTTGTTTCAAGAAAACATTTAAATTGTACATTATTTCCTTAACACATGAAAATGTGCCACCTATGACCATATAATGTTATAATGAATTCTGTGGAAAATTTTAGGGATGGATGTTCAGATGGATAATATATCATTTATGTGTACCTAGTGCGCATATTCTATTATAGTAAGAGATCACATTTGTTCCCCAAATGATTATTCCATTTGTGGTGTCATCTCTTCCTTTGCTGTTTTGATTATATGAAATATGAAGTCTATAACTTATAAAAATAGTCACATTATTAGTGAAAGGAAAAAAGTTCTCCTGGGAATGAAAAGGAATACAGTGTAGTATACTGAAAGAACAATTTACTTCCGTGTCCCTTGGGAAATAATTACACTTCCCATGATCAGTTTTATTTGGGTTGAAGGATTTGATTTAATACACTGCATGCTAAAAAGCTGCCTGACTTGCAACTGTTTATGGGTTCATTTTCTTGGAGGCAGGAAGGATGAAGATAGAATTGTACTAAAAAGATGTAAAAAAATAGTGAAATGGAGGAACATCCAACATTTATCTCAGCATTATAGGACAGACAAATATTCTGGCTCTGTGTCCTCTTGGGACATTAAAAAGAGAATGTTGCATTACCATAGGGTTGACATTTGCAAGAGTTTGAATACTGGGTGTCTCTTTCATCTGGATGAGGATACCAACTGCACAATAATACCTTTTTGGTTTTTATTTCTTCAAAACATGAAAACAAAAAGATGAAGTCAATGACAATGAGAGAAAACATTGCATACAGACTATGCTGTATCACTAGTGATTAAATCAGAAACAATTAGAAACTTTATTGGTCTGTGTCAATATGTGTACCATTTATAAGGAACAGCACAATTAGTGCATTTCCCCCCTAAAGCTGTGCACAATACACACAAAATAAAATAATCAAACAAATCAAATGAAATAATTTTACACAACTATAATAATAACAACCCTGAATAATGAGAATCGTATTTTCTCTATAGCATGAAAACTGAAAAGGCAAACAAACCAAAATGTTTCAAAATTGAAATCCACCAACAGCAAGAATTTCTTAAGGGTTCTTTTAAAGTGAAGATTCATTATGGGATTACTGACATTCCAAATATGGCTAGAAATGAGTGGACAATCTTTCTAAAGTTTAAATACCTTGTATCTCTTCCCTTATTTACTTGGTGTTTCTAGGCTAGCTTTCCATTTTTTAAATCTTGGTGGGGGGGCGGAGGAGTGGGTTAGATGTGTCCCTAAAGCAGTCACCAGTGTTGGTTGTCAATGACAGGTCAGAGATGGGTCCTGGAAAAGTACTGTTGCCACATGGTAAAAACTGAGGTTAACTGGGTCTGCTCAGTGATGTGTATCACCACATGATTGCCCTTCTTGGTTTAAAATGGGGAGACACACGTATCTGCAAGTTGGCCAAGCATAAGGAGGGTATTCTTCAAATCTAAACTTTACATCCTCTTAAAGACAATCTTTGATATTTGGATAATTTTATCTATACAATTATGTGTTTATATTAAACATTTTCATAATTGTGTTCATCCTTGCAAGATAAAACTGTTCCCATATGGTTGTGTTAACTTTTACTCATGGAAATAATAATTGGATTCTCTGTGTACCCTGCTGAGGGCAGGAAGCTGGGCTGCCTTGGTCATGCCTTGGGCCCCAGGAAACAGTATTCTACCTGGCCTGTTGAGTGGACGACCAGCATTTCATTATTTACTCCATCACCAAGCATTTAATAAATGGTGAATGGTCATGATTACTGAGTAGATGAAGAGAAAATAGACCTCAACAATGTTTCTTTTTTCGTGTCTTTGAATGAATACAGAAGGCCAGGGATGCCTCCGGCCTGGATTTCCTTAGAGACTGAGAAGTCTCTGAGAGGTGAACAGTCATTCCAATTTTGCTCATTAGTGGAATCACTTTTTGGAATGTTGGGTTGATCTACACTCTTTGGTATTTTGAAATAGAAAGAGCCATTCCTTTTCAAGGGTTAAAACCTCCCAGTGCAATCCTCTGGGAGGCACTAATCTCATTTAATTACCTTCTTTTCATCATAAGTAGAGGAGAAACACTTAAAGGCCCATTGGTTATCTTGGCTTCTTTCCTACTTGGGAACTACTGATATAATCAGAGGAGTCTGGACTGGATGGTGAAAGAAACAGGACTCAATAATGCCTTTTACATAAAAAAATAAAATGAACAGACCAATGCCATCTAACATCTGTGCCAGACAGAGCAGATGTGCAATAAATACTTTGGGGGAAGGGATGTTGTGGACATGGTGGTTCTAAAAGCCAGGCATATCCCACGCATTCACTTCTCTCCAACACCTTTCTCTTTGGCCTTCCTGAATTAATGGGTGATTCACAGAGGCCTCTGATATGTTCCACGTGGCTAATTTTCCATAAAGATCTTTGTAGGTTGCCTGCTAGCCTCTCAATAACTTTAGCTTTTCCCACAAGACTGTTATTGCTTCTTAGAATGAATGTGCATGAAAAAATGAGCCATTTTTCTCCTTTTATCCCTAGTAATAATCAAACTCAATAACAACATGAAAGCAACAATTCAGGTGAAAAGAAAGCTCACTTATGTCTTCAACGCCCAATCAACGTTGCTGAATGGGAGAACAGTATATGCTATACTCTACTATATACAGATACGCTTTGTTTTGTTTTGTTTTTCATCCATGCACTGTGTAACAGGTATCACAACAACATTCCCAAACAGGCACATGAAGAAGGAGCAAATGTTCAGTAGCGACTGGGACAGGATTGTGCGAGCCACGGATACTTTTGAAAATAAAACTGACGGACAATCCCAGGCAGCAGCAGCAACATGGGACTGGGACACATATACTGATGCAAATGGAAAAGGATGATGTGCTTTTTGAATGGGATTATTCTTCCTTTTTGCATGGAGAGTGGGTAAGCAGGAGAGGGCTGGGATGGGACACCTGGGGAGTTACCTGGGTTGGAATGAATAGGGCCTTGTGAATCATAGTCCAGAGTTCAAGAGATAAGAAATAAAGGGTTTTGCATGTTCCTGGGAATCTAGGCACATTATCCTTGTACCTGTTGAACAAGAGTGCCAGGCACCGCATCCTTCAATAACAGACTATATCAAGAACCATCGCTTTTCCTGGCTCCGTCCCAGCTCCCATGCTTCTTCTTGGAGGCAGCGTCAGTCTGCTCACATTGTGGAGAGAAGCATGAAATTTGGTAATAGAGTGAAGATGTGCTGTGCTTCTTTCTTCTTCCACGCCCAGATCCTTTCTTAATCCAAAGTCATTTTTAAAGTGTTTGGAGGAGGTGAGGGAGGGGGTATCTTAATGATTTCAATTTTTACCCCAAACCCATTTACATTTGGATGGGTTATCACCTCTCACAAAGAGAAGCGAAAACCCTGACCCTCCCAACAAAACAAAACAAAAAGCAAAGCCAAACATCAGCCACCTCCTCAACCCCACTGAAAACAAAACAGAAAAACAAGAAAACAAATCAAAGCCTTAACAATTTATGAACCTGGAGAGAGTACAGCTCTTGTAGGGCCGAGCTGCAAATATGGCCCTGCCTCTGCGCCTTGTTCAGCATGATGATGCCCCTGGGAATGGGAGGTGATGGTTTCTGACTTTGGCCCTAGTACAAAGTATGCTCTTGAAGCTGGATTCCATCAGCAGGTAAGTGAACATGACAAATGTCAATTTCCTCTGTTCATTATACATAATTTTTATGTATATATATATATGTATATATATATATATATATATAAATTTACTATATTTGATGTTCCTTTAGAAGCCTTTTATGTGGCAGTAGGCCTCCAGGGAGGAGAAGAAAATGTACAAGAGCCACAGGAGCACAAAGAGGCAGGATGTAAGGAGCTTGGCAGTCCGGGGCCCACCGAGCTCACCTCCGATTTCTGGTCTCCGCCGATAAAGCAGCACCCCCACATTGATGAAAGCAAAAATGGTGAAGAGAGTGACAGAGAAAGCTAGTGTGCCAGGAGACACTTTGAACTGTTCCCCATTGGCTGCGTGGTAGATGGCAGCGATGGACCAGGCCACGCCGATTCCCAGGAAGACGTTCACTGCATTGCTGCCTGTGACGTTACCTATGGATGCATCAGCATACTGGTCCTGAGTGGCTGCCACTTTGCTGGCAAAGGTGTCTGTAGAAGAAGAAGAAAAAAAAGGCAATGACACTCAGCCTTTTAAAGATGTCCACAGAGTGCTGGGAGCTTCTAGTGTGGGGTCTAGAACGAAACAGTGGTATAAACCCAGGAACCCAGAGTGAGCTTTGATGTTCCTTTGATTCACGTGGTGAAAAGAACAGGATCTAGATATCAGGAACCAAGGGCTTGGTGCTGTCTATGTTACTGAAGAAGTGATATTCCTCCAGTTCTTTATCCACAGATACCATCATTTTTTGTATACTGAGCTTGCAGGGCAGTATTTTTCAGAGAGTAATCCCAGGCCACCTACACCAGAAACCAGTGGGTCCTTCTATGGGGTGAATGTTATAAGCTGCATTGGGTCATAATCACTGGGGCTGAGGAATCTATTTTAACAGTATCCCAAAAGATTCCACGTCACTACAGGTGAAAATGGGTTCTGGTAGGGATTACTAAAAGATGCTGTGTCAGCAGCTCTTATTTATAGATGAGAAAGTGAAAGTGTCAGGAGAGATTTCCAAAGATTCAAGAGCAAGTCAATAGTAGAATTGAAAAGATTCAAATTATAATAATAGCTGACATTTGCCTAGAGCCTTTGAATAGGAAAGTGGATTCACCTATATGACCACATGGACTGTGATGATGATTTTATGAGGTGAAGAAATGAGGCTTAGACATGATAAGTAATGGGTGTAAATCACACAACTGCTAAGAATTTATGAAGGGCTTGAGCTCTGGTTTTCTGTCTTCAAGGCGCATGCCTGCCAATTGAACCATCTCATCTTTCTCCGTGCCATAAGTACCAATGAGCATCCTCAAAGCTCTTTGTTCACCAACAGTCCTGAATGTATCTTTTTATGAATATAGGGATGTCAGGGTTCACTATTGGGGGTGGGGTGTAGACCATAGTAACTTACACCTTTTGATGAGTAGAACACAGAGGTTTTATCTTGCCTTTACAACTGAGTGTGTGGTCCTGGGCTTCAATTCCTAATCTGTGACAATAGAATACTGATACCCACTTCAGACTGCTACTGTCAAGTTGAAATATTATGTGTAAAATGCCTTCTATGCTTCTTGGTAAGAGTAGCTCTTATTGTTGTTTTGGAAGATAATGTCAACAAGGCAATCTAGAGTAGTTTAAAACCTGGGCTAGGATCTGAAATATCCCCTTTTATTAAGCATGTAAACAGAACTTGCAAGAAACTAAATTTAGGGCTAGAGGTGTAGCTCAGTTGTAGAGTACTTGTCTAGCATTTGGGAGGCACTGGGTTCAATACTCAGCACCACATAACAATAAATAAACAAGTAAAATAAAGGTGTTCATCTACAACTAAAAACATACATTTAAAGAAACTAAATGTGTTGTCTATATGATGCCAAGATACTGGCATCAAAGTCCTTTCAATGACCTGTGCAAAATTCCTTGCTTAGTTTGTTTATAGTAGATGTTAATAACAATCAAATTTAACTCACACTTGCAGTCACTAATGGCCAAGTACTATATTCTTCAAAGTGCTGTATCCACTTCTCTGGAATTCCTGTGGCTCCTAGAATGCTCTGTGCAGGCAGATAGTTGTATGCTACCTGGTCTAGTTTCTCTCCTCTGTCGTTATTCTGTTGCCACAATTGCTCCTTGGTAAATAGCCGTGGGGGACAATCCACAAAGCATGAAAGTTTATGCGAGCCTATAGATTCTCTACTTTATGATGGGGAAGAAAGTTACTTAGGTCGATTGGAGACTATTGCATCTGAATATCACATTCTTTCTGAAAGGGAATTGATCAGCCCCAAGGGCCTGTCTCATTGATTATGACCTCTGTCTGTGATGGAAAGTAGATATTGCTACTCTTTTATAATTAAGGCAATAACTGTTTATTCTATGCCAGGCACTACGCTATATAGGTTTTATGTATATCCTCATTCAACCCTTTCACAGCCTTAGGGACTGGGTGTTATTATTCCCTGTTTGTAATTTCAGAAACTATATCATTGTGATAGTATGCCTCAGAGACCAAGTCTTGATCAGCCAAATGAGAATTTTTAAATCAAGTCTGTTTGATTTTAAAGTCTATTCTCAGTCCATACCATATTGCCCCTCCCAGGAAGAATAAAAGGTTCCTTTCCACTTACTCCATTTAGGTTGCCCTGTTCCTTCCATTCAGAAACTTTGAAGCAGGTTCTCAACAAATGCCCATTCCTATTTCAGGGGAACAGACTAAAGAAGGTACAGGCACTTGGCTAATTCACCTGCTTGGATTTGTGCTGCTTTGTGCCTTCATGGTCACAGCTTGCAGCCCAGTAGGATTATTACAGAGACTGATGAGTAAAAGCAAAGCCAGACAAATCTTAATGGTCTCTTGCATTTCATTATTAAGAGTTCTTCAAAGGTGCTGCTGCAGCAGTGTCAAAAGGAAGAAAAAAAAATCTTTTGCTTTTCTTCTTCAAGGACAGGCAGTGGAGCAAAGAAAGTAAAAGAACAAGAGTCTAAGGCAGGAGAGAGCAGTTTACAGCTCAGCTGCTGCCCAGAAACACCTGAAACATTATTCTGAGCTAGCCCTGGCTGATGGTGAACAGATGGCCACATTAGGTAGGGCCCTTTTGGGATGTAGGTAGTCCGCTCATATGCTGTAGGGACAGGTGACCTGGCTGTTGCATCGCACAAACCTGCATATATCCCTGGCACATGGTACAGAGCACACTGTCCTATCTCCACTCAGAAACCCTAGACATTCCAGATGGCAGCCTTTACCTCTGCACCAGAAAGGAAAGAGGTGTAAAGGTCAAAGAATCCTGGGTCCAGAGGCCTGAACACCCAGACCAGGCCTACACCCTGAAACGAAGGGCATACCAGGTGTGTGGCAATTTCCTCCCCCTCCAGCTATTTTTCAATAGCCTATTTATGTGAATATTACATGAAAATTCTTACTTGTAAAAATAGGTTCCTATTTTCAAATGCTTTTCTCTAGAGTCCCTAAGATTTAGGAGCCAAACTGACTAGCTCATCACATAAATAAAACATGTTCTGGGCCTCTTGGAGTCTGGTAGATTTTATTTACCTGGATTAGGCATCAGCCTTTTGTCTATTTTTAGTTTCGACTCAAAAACTATGTTTTAAAAAAATTGTAGGAACACATGCAGATCCAAACCATTAACCTTAGCTCCAACAGAGATAACTCTCTTCTCCAAATGAAGTGGGAAGGAATCTCCCCAAATTACCTTCTGTTGCTGCTTTGCTGCTTAGTGCCCAGAGAAACACATCCCACGCCATATGTTGTTCACCACCAGCTCCTACCCTCAACACTAAGCCTGGAACCTGCCTGTGGTCGAACAAGGCAAATGCCTTTTCCCAAAGTAAAATTCAAGAAGTAACTGCTGCCTGGTCTCAGAGGGATATAAACATATTCAGAGCTTGGTTCATTAAACACAAAAATAAGGGAGTCATATTTCTTACGTGATTAGCATAAATTAAGACATCTTGACAATTCAGTGTGTATGTGTGTTTGTGTGTATTTATATGCCCACACTATTATGAATGTCTTATATATGTATGAGTGTATGTCTCTCTCTATATATATATATATATATATTTTTTTCCTACATATACACCCAAGGTTAGGCTTCTGATTGTAATTTTTAATTCCAGCCTTGATATCTAATACATCTTCAATTAGTTTTATAGTCTCTGACTTTTGATTCTATCTTCTTGATACATATAACTGTAAATAAGAGAAAATTTGTTTAGATGGCAACGTGGCTCAAATGGAGCCATATATCACAAAGTTGGGACAAAACTGTTCTCTGTAGACCTGGTTCAAGTTCACTGTATATAACTTGGTCAAGTCACTTCACTTTTTTAGATTATAGTTTCCTCACCTAAAATGAAGAAATTAGATGAGAAGATCTGTAAAACTCTCTCTACTCTCACTGTTTGGGTAGTCAGCAAAATACACCAGAATACTAAATCCATATATATGCTTTTGATGCTGTTTTCTTTCTGTACAAGCAGTACATGATTGCTCTTCTTCAACAGAATTGACTAATGCTATTCTCATTGAGCAAATATATTACTTAAGTGAAGTATATGAAGATCTTGGGAACAGAGATTTCAAGACCTAAAGATTTTTCCATTGATCAAACTGTGATAACATTTATGAAATTAAATCACATAGCAGTATTTTGCCTTCTAAAATTAGGTACAAAATGTTGTCAGAATTATTTACTTCAGCTCACTTTATCAGTCATCTCTTTCCATGAGGGAGGCTGTGGCATAAATGGGAGCAGAAAGGCCTATATTTCAAAGGCTGTTTAATGTCACACTGTTGCATCAGAATTACTTGGAGAGCTGGGCATGGTGCTACATGTTTGTAATCCCAGCAGCTAGGGAGGCTGAGGCAGGAGCATCAAAGTTCAAATCCAGACTCAGCAATTTAGTGAGACCCTAAGGAACTTAGACCCCATCTCAAAATAAAACATAAAAAGGGCACGGGATATGGCTCAGTGGTTAAGTGTCCCTGGGTTCAATCCATGGTACCAAAACAAAAACCAAAATTAGTTAAAGAGCTTTATTTTATTATTATTCTTTTAAATGTAGATATGGGGTTCTACCCTAGACCTACTGTAGATTCTCTGGGGAAAGGAGTCAGGGACATATCTTTTAAAAAATGGCTTGGTTAGGGGAAGGTTAGAGAACCAAATTCTAGGACATGGAAATAGGAGGAATTGCTTCAAGTGTCCAGTTTGGGGGGGTCTTTCTGGGAGGACGTTTGCATTTCAGGAAAGCAGATAACTGGGAAGAGGTCAGCTGGTCTCTCTCAGAAATGTTGGTGCCCTCAGATAGGATCCTTTTGCGCATAAACCAACTTGGGTGGGCTGGATAGAGGTGCTGGGGCTGTCTAACTCTACTGCTTCCCTCTCTTCTTGTGCTATTTTAAAGTCTATTTCAGCACAGCTATGCTGAAAGGCAAGGGAAGGGGAGGAATCCACCAAAATCAGTT